ACCCATAATAATTCGGAGAAATAAACATCTAGTCCATCACATCAATCTCTTCAGCCCAGCTGAGTCATAGAGTCACCAGTGTCACACCTGGGTCAACTGCACATTAGACAATTGCTATGCATATAAAAGGCAGTATCTTAGCATGTGCAGGCACAACTGTCTTACATGGATCAACTCAGTTAAACTACCCACTGCTGGGTGATGCATATTTATTATCCATCTTCACTTAATAGATAGGAAACCATAGACAGAAAGGCGAAGTAACTTGTTCAGAATCACAAATCTATAAGAAAAATAAAAATAAAAAAAAAAAGAAAATTGTTAGAGATTTTCCTTCATAATTCAGGATTCTCTTCTAGTACATTTGCTTCTGCTCGGTATTACAAAGCATAATGTTTATGTTGGTTTTTTTGGCCTATTTCATTTTAGTTTCCTTTTTATTTCTAACTTTCTAAAGTGAATTAATCACTACCTAGTCAAAGTAAATCAGTGAACTGGTTGCAGCATTTACCCCGCTGAGATTTCAGACTCATGGTGAGCTATTGAGAAAAATTTGGCTCAGTTGTTACTGGCATAGGAGGCTTTACAGTTATTTATTAGAAGGTAGTCGGGAGGAAGAGAAAAAATTGGATTTATGTGATCATGTATTGTTAAATACAGCACACCGCTGCTATCTTTTCTTTACTATTTTCTCTAAGAGTCATCATTTCGATGCACTAATCTTTTCAACAGCCATTCTGTCGGAGTTGGTCTAGAACTTTGCTAAGGGGTCACATTTACCAACCTGACAGTTAGACATTTACTAAAAAAAAAATTGCATGAATTTATTCAGCATCAAAACCAATGTATTTTTATCACCCAACTAACTGTATTTCATGCTGTCTTACTATCAGTGTACAATAGCTACATAAATTCCACCCAGATTCTTCATTTAATGAACACATATTCTTTGAACAAAAAATAAAAGAGTTCTTTTTTATGTAAGTGTAAAAGTGCAGGAAGTGAGTGTGGAGGAGACAAGTCATCAGATTATTGCAGCTATGGGGAATTCTCTGCTCCTCTTTCTCTTCAGACACAATATATTTTTTTTGATTGAATGGAAAATGGGGAATGGTATAGCAGTCTCAGATGTGTTTGAGGATATTGTGTGTTGCGTCGGACAACACCACACTGACAAACGGGAGAGGTGAAGCAGGCTACATAATGCAGGATGCTGCTGAAGAGCAAGATCCTGGCCCTTTTATTGACACATGTAATTGATTGTAAGGAGATTAAGGAGATTAAAGAAAGGGGAAGGGTATAGAAGATTAGGGATTGTGAGTTTGCCCTCCAGGCACTTCTAATCTACTTGATGATACACCCTAATCCCCAGCGATGGTTCTAATCTTATCAACAAGGTGCTCCACTGATCAGCTTCTGGGGACCCTTGTTATACATCGGTCCTAGGCCCCCCAGGCATTTCCAATCATACCTCGTGATGTATAAATCGCGAGTATATGTTATACATTGGTCCTCAGCCACCTGGGCATTCTGGACATACATCCTAATGCACATGTTATGCATCGGTCCTCAGCACCCCCGGGAGTTCTGGACATACCTTGTGATGCATAACCTTCCCAGTGTGATCCAGCTTTGTGCTCTTGTTTGATCTGAAGGGCTTAAGGGTTTGGGCTCCTGTTCCTAACTGGCCGGGCCATTTTGACCTTGTTTAGGTGACAAAATGGTGGCCGAATAGGCTGCCTAGGAGTAGCAGACCCACAATTGTGATGGCCACATCCTAAGCTCATGCAGGACTGAGCATCGATGATACTGTCATCTACAGGTGACTTTTAGAAAACATTTTATGCAGTTGGAGAGACTGTAGTATAGTAGCCAAGAGTATAATGAAGCTTTGCATTGCAGCTAAGCTTTGTAACTAGACTGCCTGGGTTCAAGTCCTAGCTCACCCACTTATAGGTTTGTGATTCTGAGCAAGTTACTTCACCTTTCTGTCTATAGTTTCCTATCTATTAAGTGAAGATGGATAATAAATATACATCACCCAGCAGTGGGTAGTTTAACTGAGTTGATCCATGTAAGACAGTTGTGCCTGCACATGCTAAGATACTGCCTTTTATATGCACAGCAATTGTCTAATGTGCGGTTGACCCAGGTGTGACATTGGTGACTCTATGACTCAGCTGGGCTGAAGAGATTGATGTGATGGACCAGATGTTTATTTCTCCAAATTATTTTGGGTGCTTTCACTCATAATAAAAGGATACTTTCTAAACGCATTAAAAAGTACACTTTACCAAAAGTATCATTTTAATATAGGGCAATTACTTAAAAAAGTACAGAAATATTTATTTGAATCAAGGATATAGTAGGTAGTTTGTGGGCCATCTCCCCATCCTACATCCTGCTGCAAGACCTAGCTTTCTAAAACACTGTTTCCCTGTATCTATTTCTGCTCAGAAGGCTTTGATGTGTCCTTCAGATATAAACTCCCCTATCATCCATTTCTACCAGAGCCTTGTCCTTTCTCTCCCTCCCCCTAGACTTTTTTAATCCCTTCTACTCTAGTCAAAATTGTTCTAATGTCATTTCTCATATATATGACATTGCTTCTTGCTCTCTTCTCTTGTTTACACTTTTTTATAATTGACGTAACATTGGCTTATATCACTGTTTGTGCATTAGAAGTGTAGGCTCTCCCCTCTCTGGTGCTGTTACTATATCATAGCACCGCCAAGAATCCCATAGCCCTCTACCATAGTCCATTGTGCTCCCTTTCCACCTTGCTCTTGTCCCTTCACCTTCCCTTCTGGGAGCCTCAGTTCTATAGTCAACTTTCTAGGGTTAGTTCTAACTTTGGCTTTATCTGACCCTTTGTTTTCTGTATATTTCCTATATAAGGGACACCATCCTGTATTTCTCTTTCTCCTGACTTACTACACTTAGCATAATCCTTTCCAGCTCCATCCATGTTGCTATAAATGACAAGAGTTTGCCTTTTTGATAGCTGAGTAGTATTCCTTTGTCAATCTAATATTCTAAGAGTCATAAAGGGGAAGGTATATATTTGATTGTATTTTTTTAGCACATAGCTTAATTGTCTGGATATAGTCTAAGTGAAGCTTGTTAATGATGATAAACTATCCTGTTAACTCTACTTTCAAACTACATTTAGAATCTAACTACTTCATACCACCTCTAACACTGTCACTCTTGGCCAAGTCACATTTACTCTTTCCTTGCCTCCTTTCTTTTCTTCCTGTTCCATCATTGCCCACCCTTTATATTTACTTTCAACATAGCAGTACTTAAATTTTAAGTCAGATCATATCACTTCTGTATTCAAAACCCTCCAATTCCTTTTCACATCATCCAGAGTAAAACCAAAGCCCCTATAATGGCCTACAAAGCCTCTTATGATCTGTCACCCCACCCCCACCCCTATCCCATGCCTGCTTCTTAATCCTGAAACTGCTTTCCTCCATGTCCTCCTACTGCCCTCTACCTGTTCCCTACTACTCTTCTTCTGCTGCATTGGTCTCCTTGCTGTTTTCTGAAGATGCAAAAGGAAATCCCAACTCAGGGCCTTTGCACAGCTTGTTCCCTCTGGCCAGAAAACTCCTCCTTGGGAACTCTTATGGCTCCATCCTTCCTGCAGTTCTCTGATCACATTCCTGCTCAGTAAGATCTTCACTGATAATTCCTATTTACTGCCCATCTCCCCAAACTGGAGTGTAAATTTTGGAGGCCAGGAGAAAGGACTTTTTGTCTATTTTTTTTAGTACTCTATTCTCAGTACCTAAAGCAGAATCTGGCGCCTATCAAGTTTTAGTAAATAGTATTGAATGTATAAATAAAAATTTACCCTTAAGAATAATGCATTCATATTCCTAACCCTCCATTTCCTTTGAACGATTTTTAGGCTCACACAAAAGCAAATGCCCTATAATAACTCCAAGAAAATTATAATAGCAATAGTTGAATATTAGCCATAGCAATTGGAGCAGAAAGTTCCATTGCTGAGAAAAAAGATTTCTCATCAAATGAAGGAAAAGAAATGGCTTATGATATAACTTTCTTGTTAAATTATATTGGTGTCCTGGGGGACTATCACTAACCAGTGTTAAGGCATATTGTAAGAAAGCAAATGGTTTTGGCCACCCTATCTACTTCCAGAGGTCAAGAATGTTGTTAGTATATTGTTTTTTTCTTCATCTAGCATCAGACTAAATGGTGAAGAGATCATTGATGTGGGAGTGAGGCTGTTTCAATTTTGGCATGACTATCGTTGGACAGGTTATATATACTCTCTGATTCTTGATTATGTATAAAATACTTTTTAACAAGACCTTTCTCTCAATGTTGTTCAAAGGTTAAAAGAGGAAAGAAAAATAAATCCTCTGAGACATATTTTAAAAAATGTGTTATAAACATTGCATCTTGCAGAAATAACTGTATATTTTGCAACTGAGTTCTACATTTTGGCTTAAATCAAAGGGAGAAGTGGCAGTTAGACTGGTGTCTGAGAATAAGCTTTGACCCCTGGGACTTGAACCAAAGAGAAGCCCCACAGCACCCTTAGTGTCCCAGCACTATCTGATAAAACTGCCTGGCCTTCCTCGAACATCAGCCTCACTGACTACTTGATTTTTGTGGAAGACTACTGGTTTTATACTTTGAACCCAACTCCTGTTCTCCTGTTCTCTGTTTTCAGTTCTCTGCTCCTTCCTTTATTTTCAAAGCATTATGGTAGGCATGTGAAGTTGGAGATTCCACACTGAAAATTATCCATGAAATCAATAAAGGAAAAGTAAGATCAGGCAGCTACCCTGCATAATAAAATAACAATGAATGTTAATTTTCAAATTAAGATGTGAGGAACAGATGTATATCAATTAAGTTTTGGAATTATGACTTCCAGAGGAAGAGAAATATTTTGTTTAACCACTAAACTACTCTCTATATGTTTTTCTTGCAATGACATTTAATTTTGAAATCTTTAGGAAACCAAAGCTGTAGTTGAAGAAACAAGAGCCCTGCGAAGCCGAATTCATCTCGCAGAAGCTGCACAGAGACAGGCCCACGGGATGGAAATGGACTATGAAGAAGTGATCCGTCTGTTAGAGGCCGAGATTACAGAGCTAAAGGCTCAGCTTGCTGATTATTCTGACCAAAATAAAGTAAGCAAAACAGTCCTCTCTCGTCGTTACCATGGTTTCCTTGCCGTTGTCATGTATCCTGTTTTCATTTTCTTTTCATCTGCACTTCTAAACTAGGTCAGTGTTTGTCTTCTATTATTCAATGATAGGATGATGTGTTGTGATGGGGCTAATGTGAAGGTGGTGAGCCTCCCTTTATTCAGATAGCTTTGGAGTGGAAAAAGCATGTACCCCCAATTTGTGTGCATCACTGGTCAACATTAAGTCTTGGAATTATTTGCCATTTAATTGATGACATTGGTTTTCCCCCCTTTGTTTCTAAAGTTTCTGACTTGTCTTGTGGGGATAAGAGGAGGAGAGCCTGGGGATGGATTTTACTCTTTGATTAGAGCATTCCAGGAAGTGTGAAAGTTAAGTAATTTTTGCCCAAGGCTTGAGATAATTAATGGAAAGAAACTGAGTTTGAATTTAGGTTTTTTTTTTTTTTTTTTTTTTAATGTAAGATGTACTAATCCAGTCTCCAGTTCAATAGCAAAATGCTGAATGCTTTTCAGAAGACAGTGAGAACTTAAGATGAATCCGCGATTTTTTTTCTATGTGTGTACTATATTCATTATAGTCTTCAAAAATAAAATATATAACATACATTTTTACTCACCAAATTAAAGAAATTGAAATGTATATTTTATAACTTCTTACAACTCATTTATGAACATAATAGGTGTTTGATATTCCTTTTTTTTTATTTTATTACTTTTTAAAGATTTATTTATTTATACAAAAACTGGGGTACAGGTCAGAGGCTCGAGAGGATGAGAGAATTCACCAGAGACAGAGTGGGGAGCAGTACAGGCAGACGACCAAAAACACTGCCAAGGGGAACAGCGGGTGAGAGGAGAGGTCTCCCACGCCATGTGGGTCTCTTCCTGGCTGGCTGGGAATCCAACCTGCACTGCATAGGCTGCGGACAGTCCCACAGCACTACACTTAACCCGCTGCACCCACCAGAGAGGCCCAGGATAGTCCTTTTTTTTAAAGATTTATTTTATTTATTTATGCATGCAAGAGCTGGGATGTAGGCCAGAGGTTCGGGGTGGAGGTGGTGAGAGGATTCACCAGAGACAGAGTGGGGAGCAGAAAAGGTGGATCTACTGAAAAACACTGCTGAGGGGAGCAGCAGGCAAGACAAGAGAGGTCTGCTGTGCCATGTGGGTTAGCTCCCTGGCTGGGAATCGAACTTATGCTGCAGTGACTGCTGATAGCTTCATTGTGCTGAGACTTAACCACTTGTGCCACCAGCAAGGCCCCAGTGTTCCATTTTTTAAAGCATAGGTTATTTGTAATTCTGTCTTCTCAGTCCTGGCTGAAAAACAGTTGTGTTTGAAAGTTTGGAACCAATTTTTACTCCCACCAATAATAAATGAGAATTACTATTTACTGCACATCCTTGCTGACACTTTGTTTTCTTTTACTTCTAATTTTTGCCAATCTGGTAGGTGTGATAAATACATCTCATTTTGAATTTGAAATTTGAATTTCCCTGCTTACTAATGACTTTGAGTCACTGACATGCTGTGGTGTTGAGTGCATCTCTTCTCAACACATGTGCAGTAACATCAGGTTGGTAGATTGAAATCAGCCCTGGTGGGTTTCATTACACCCCAAATGTTATATGAGCCAAGGCTTTATCTCATCCCAGATAGTCAGATAAGCATATATTCATATATTTATTAGGTATTTGTTTTTGTGAAATGCCTCCTCATATCTGTCAACCCTCTTCCATTGGATTGCTTTTTCATATTGATCTGTAGTGATTGTTCATATGTGTGGGTACTCATCCTATATTATATTTGTTATGAAAATCTCCTAAATATATGGTTTACCATTTCTCTGTATGTTAAAATGAACAGGTATTCTTAATTTTCATGTAATCACTTCCCAGTCTTTTCTCTCGTGTGTCTTTTTAGAAGTATACTTTATACTTGCCTCTAAAAGATTTTAAGTTTTGTTCCTTCTGTTATTGGTTTTGTGGCATTGTATGAAGCAGAGATCCATTTCATTGTCTTTTTTTAAAATTCTAAATGAAAAACTATCCCAGCGAAATGTCTACTTTTTTTTTTTTTTTTAAAATAGAGGCATGTTTTATTTATTTATTTGTTTGATTTTGTTTATACATGCACTGGGTACAGTCAGAAGTGCGGGAGGGTGAGAGAATTCACCAGAGCCAGAGCCAGAGCCGGGAGCAGAGCAGGCAGAAGGACCGAAGTACACTGCTGAGGGGAGCAGCGGGCGGCAGGAGAGGTCTGCGCGCCATGTGGGACCCTCCTCCGGTGGCCGGGGAGCAGCTGGGGATCGAACCGGCGCCTCCGAGGCCGCGGGCAGCTTCGCAACCCAGCGCTCAACCGCTGCGCCACCGGGGAGGCCCAAAATGTCTACTTTTGTCAATAATTTATTCCATTTTTTTACTTTGAATACCATATATTAGATACTATTACAATTTGCTTTGTGCCTCTTCTAATTAATCTACAAAATCAGCTCTGTCACATTTAAAAATTTTCACGTGTGTCGCTCTTTTTTGAGGGGGTCTCTATTCTTTCATTGGTTTGTTAGTTTATTTGCAAATATATGCTGCATTTTATAGTAAGTCTTGATGTCTAGTTATTTTCCTTAAAAATATGTTGACGACATGGCCGTTTGAACTTCTTATGTATTTTAGAATTCAACCTGTAAATTCTACCTAAAGAAAATAGACCTATTAGAGTTTTTACTAGAAATACATTATATATGTAGATTAATTTGAGAAGACCTTACATATTTAAGATTGAGACTTAATTTGTAAACACTAGTGAGGCACAGAAAGGTTACTTGCATTGTGGTAAGAAAATCTAATCTATAAGATAACAAATGCATAATTTTTTCATGGTGGTTTTATAACTCCATTATCTGACCAGTGTATACAGATGTTCAAAGTGAGCTTACAGAGAATTCGGCTATTGTTTGATGTGTTGTTTGATATAGTCCAGTAGACAAAAGTCATTATGGTGGGGTTCAACTCTTCACTAGTTATTAATTTTTTTGTTGGCAAAATATGTTAATATTTCACTTATTGTTTCTTTTTTTAATTTTTCATTATATTTTCTGAAGTAAGGTTTTGACTGCATAAAAACTTGGAATTACATTGTTATCCTTTTATGAAAATGTTATGATTCTTTGATATGGCAATCTTTTTTCCCCCTTAGTGCTTATTTTTGATTGATATGAAAATAATTACACCAGCTTCTTTTAGTTTTTAACCTATTTTTTTATCCTTTTATATTCAACATTATAGTGTCCTAATATGGTAATTGTGTATGTGGTAAACTGCATGTAACTAGATATTCCCCCCATTCTTATTAATTTTGGACCTTTAATTGGAAAAAACTTTCCAATTAAACTCTTATCAGCTATTGTCCTTGGCTTCGATTCCATATTCTTGCTTTGTACATTTTATTTATCCCTTTTTTTCTCTTTTTAAATTGATGCAGATTTCTCTTGAATTGCCTTCCCCAATCTATTTCCTATTGCTGTCTTAGAAGTTATATATTCTGAGTTTTAAGGATTATCCTAAAAATTTGCGACACTCTTTTACCTTAGAGTATAAAACTAATCACTAGTATTCCATGTCTTATCAATATTATAAGCACTTTAGAATATAAATCCAATCATCTCTTCCTATTTAATTTCTCTTTTTGTCAGTATTTTACTTTTATTTATTTATTTATTTGTTTGTTTGTTTATTTATTTTTGTTTATACACACACTGGGTACAGTCAGACACGCGGGAGGGTGAGAGAATTCACCAGAGCCAGAGCGGGGAGCAGAACAGGCAGAAGGACCAAAGTACACTGCTGAGGGGAGCAGCGGGCCTGGCAGGAGAGGTCTGTGCGCCATGTGGGACCCTTGCCCGGCGGCCGGGGATCAAACCAGCGCTGCAGAGGCTGCAGGCAGCTTCGCAACCCAGCGCTCAACTGCCATCGGGGAGGCCCAGTAGTTTACTTTTTTCTTGACGTTAAATACCATAAATTAGATTCCATTTCCCCTTATTTTTTTGCAGTCAACCTTTGTTTATATAGACTCTCACATTTGCCATTTTCTTTGTTTAACATCCATCCTTGCACTCAGGCCTTCTTGCAATATTTATTTCCTTCCAAAGTACATATTTTAAAAATTTGTTAGGTGTGATTTATTGGTAATAAATTTTTTCTGTTTTTTGTTTGTCTGAAAACATCTTTATTAAACTCCTGTTTTTGAAGTACATTTTTGCTACATTTAGAATGTTAAGCTGACATTTAATTTTTTTCCAGTGTTTTTATTCAATGTTGTAATATCAGTTGTCAATCTGTCATTTGTTTGCAATCTGTTGTTACTTTCTAGATGTTTTTAAGATTTTTGTATCTTCAGCATTCCACAGTTTGACTATGATGAGTCATGCATTGCCTTATTTTTATTTATTTTGCCTAAGATTCATTGAGCTTCCTGATCTATGAACAATATATTTTGTCATCTCTGGAAAACCATAGACTGTTATTCTGAACTACTTCTCTTTCTGGTCTCTATTACATAATTCAAACAGGATGAATACTGAATCTTCTTTTGCTTCTTTTCTCTTAATTCTTCTTCTCCTTTCATGTTTTCTGCTTCTCTTTCTACTCCATTTTGAAGAATTTCTTTTCCTCTGTCTTCCAATTCACCTGTTCTCTTTTCAACTGTATCTAATTATATAATTAATCAATAGAGTATCTATTGTAATTATGATTAAATTTTTATTTTTAAGACTTATTTTTATATAATCTGGATCTGTTTTGATAGTTTTTTATCCTTCTATTATGCTTTCCATTTCTTCTCAAAAATTTAAAACACCTTAAAAATTGCTTTATTTTATGTATCTGATCACTCCAATGTCTGCTGTCACTCTAAGCCTGACCCTGTAATTTTTTCTTTTAGCTAGCTTTCATTCATAATTTTATATTTCATGCTATTTTGATACATTATATGTGGTTATTATATGAGGTCTGAACTTAGAAAGTATCTCTCCATAGAAGTTTGTGTTTGCTTTTACTAGCCTGCAACCAACTTAACTAAATTTTCAGCTTATGAATTTATTGGCCACACAGGTGATATAAATTCTCACCTCAAATCTGCATGAGAGAGATTTGTGGTTAGAAATTATTTGGGAAAAACTTTTTTTTTACCCACTACCACAGCCAAAATTAAATTCATGTTTACCTTTTGATGTTTTATTTCTTCCTATTTCAACTATTAGTGTACTCCTTTTTGCCATTTGTGGCTGATCAAACCCCAAACTGTAGTCCATTGAAGAGATCAGCATATACCCTCAAAGCAAATTATTTCACAGTGAACTTACTCCAGTATATTCACTTAATATTGCTATTGCTTGTTTTCATGGAATTCCTTTACTTCCCTGCCAGCTCAGCTTTACATTGGACTATAGTACATTAAATAGATGTGCAGGGCCTTCCCAGTGGCTCAGTGGGTTGAGCGCTGTGCTGTGAAGCTGTTCGCAGTGCTGGTTCAATCCTGGCGTCATGTGAAAATCCCACATGGTGCGGCAGACCTCTCCTGTCTTGCCCACTGCTCCCCTCAGCAGTGTATTTCTGTTGTCTGCCTGTTCTGCTTCCTGCTCTGTCTCTGGTGAATCCTCTCACCCTCTTGCACTTCTGGCCTATACCCCAGATCTTGTATAAAAGTAAATAAATCTTTATAAATAAATAAATAGATGTGCCTATATTAAGGATTTTTTGGTTGAAGTTTCTGTCAGTATCTGGTAAATCATGTTGTTCTCCCCCCAAAAAATGCAATAAACTAATTTAAATATATTTTACTATAAGAATCAATAAAGTTATAGGCAGCTGTAGTGTCCATATACAATTTCACTTAAAGTTTGCAATTAGTAAAGTGCTCCCCCCCCATATCAGAAGAGATGTACAATAAGAGAAAATAAATGATACAGTATTGTTGCATATTATTTAATTAAAACAAAATAGGAGCCACTAATGTACAACAAAAAAAATGTTTATGAAATTTCTTTTGATGTCTGTTCAGGAAGGTGTTCAAGAGTTAAGAAAGAGAATCACAGTTCTCGACTGCCAATTGCGAAAATCAGAAATGGCTCGAAAAACTTTTGAGGCTTCCACGGAAAAGCTGCTTCATTTTGTAGAGGTAAAGTCTCCTGTGAACATTATGTTTTGTCCATTTTTAACAATTGTATAGGTGACTGACTTACAGATAAATAGCAGTGAGTTTGGTGGCTGGTAAAACATTCTCTGGGCTCAAAGCTGATTTAGATTTAAAATGCCCTAGAAAATGAAAATACAGATGAAGAAAAATAATTGAGACAAGATAACTTTATACCAAATGTATATTATGTTTTAATGAAGTTTTCCTAAAAATTTTGATACTATGTAAACATTATGGTCACACTTAAATGCTTCTATGGATATTATATTTCTGAGTAAAGTTACATGTTTATGCAACTTTTCCCTCCTCATAACAGAAATACCTTTTCATTCAATGAGAAGTTATAAATATTTATTAAGAAAAAGCATTTTTAAAAAATCATCAAGCTTACATATCTCTTTCACTATCTTGTTTTTCACTAGGCTATTCAAGTATTTTCTGATAGTTCTGCTCCTTTATCAAATTTAAGGTAAGATTCTTTAAATGTGTTCTGCAGAGTATGACCACTTACATTTTCATCTGGTAATTGTAACTAAAATACTAAAGTTTCTTAAATAGTTTTAAGATGCTACATAACTCCTATTGGACACCATTATTTTTTTAATAACTTATTTTTTTAAAGATTTATTTTATTTATTTATGTATACAAGAGCTGGGGTGTAGGCCAGAGGTACGGGTGTAGGCCAGAGGTACGAATCCTCTCGGGAGGTGAGAGGATTCACCAGAGACCGAGTGGGAAGCAGAACAGGAAGAACTACTAAAATACACAGCTGAGGGGAGCAGCAGGTAAAACAGGAAAGGTCTGCTGTGCCATGTGGGTTAGCTACTTGGCTGGGATCAAGGATCTAACTGGAGCTGCAGTGTTATTATTCAGTGTCTCATGGGAAGATATAGAAGGACACATTAGTTTTGAGCTCATCTACACAAATAAAATTCTTGGAGGTATGTAGCCAGTCATTGTATCATAGTGCAAGTGCCCCCCTCTTTTTTCCCTCAAAAGTTTTCATTATGCCACTTCACTTCCATGAAAGACCCATATTAGTACCTGATTATGCTAACCAAAAGAAATTCAGAGGATTTTTGCTTTGACAACCAAAGAAAACACACAGAAATAGCGTTCAGCATTGGTTTTGCCACAACTGTTTTGGAGGCAGTGCACACCCAAAGCGGGGAGAGTGCCATCATCCGGCCCCTCCCGGGGGAACTACTTTATGTAGGCTGTGTATTTATCACATCATTCCTGCTTTTTCTATATGTTAATGTTATTTTGGATTTTATGTGTTATTTGGTATGACTTGGTAGTTTAGTTTTTGGGTGTGGGAACTCTCAAAATGTTTTCCATATAAACTAATTTCTTCTTTTAATGCCATTTTGGCTTATGAAAGGTTACATAGGGTTGTTCTGTTTTCAAATAGTGGGGAGAACCTGTATTCTAAAATTGAGGTAGGGCCTCCCTGGTGGCGCAAGGGGTTAAGCTGCAGCACTGTCAAGCAGCCACTGCAGCATGTGTTCAATCCCTGGCCAGGGAGCTACCCACATGGCACAGCAGACCTTTCCTGTCTTGCCCACTGCTCCCCTCAGCAGTATATTTCTGTTCTGTTCCTCACTCTGTTTCTGGTAAATCTTCTCACCCCTCACAACTCTGGCCTGTATCCCAGTTCTTGTATGCATTAATAAATATTTTTAAAATAATAAATAAATAAAATTGAGGTAGAAATCATCACCTATTTTGTCCTTCTCAGGATTTCTGTAAAGGTGAGATTAATTTGAAATTGTAAGCATCCTGTTTATGAATAACAGTCACTATTCTGCTAAAGTTCTATCTCAACCCAGGATCAGATGTTTATGGTAAACAAAATTTTACAAAACATCCTCATGCAATCAATTTCTTTTTTATCATTCAGTAGACATACTAAAAAAATTTATTTGGAGAATATACCTTGATTTTGTTATTATTCAGTTTGTTTCCTATTTAAAGTTTCTTAATAAGAGATACAAACATACTAATAAGATTTATTTCAAACTGCAAGTTTATGGTCTTTTTGATATATGACATATAAAAGACATATAAAAGAAAGATTCCTGTTTATACATTTTCAAAGCAATGTTTTCCTCATAATAGCTGCTATGCAATGTACTTAGACTCCTTGCAATGTACACTCCTTGCAATGTACACTTGCAGAAACATAGGAAAACTTTACCCTTTACTATGAAAACAGCAATTTAATAAATGAACATGATATACTGTATTCTTATTATACTTTAGCTTTCCACAGAGCAGATTTGAATTTAGAAGAATATCTGTAGAATACTTGTAATCTCATTTTGATGTAATGCTTTATTTCATCTAATGAAGGAATCTCACATGTTTTGATTTTAACCCATGCTCCTTATATTAGAAAATTATGTCAACTCCATGCAGTAAGAATGTTAAAATACTCAGCAATAAGATTCTCCTTATATGAGTTAGATGTGGCCCCCTACTTCCTCCAAGGTCACATTGTGACTTTGAGTAATAATTCAGAATATTTTGATATTAAAAATGAAGGTTAAAAATTGACATTTAAAGTCAGAGCCTCCCTATGCCTTAAACTGATTTGTGACAAAAGGACCACTTTAAAAAGCAATGTTAAGCAAATTAACCCCACATCTTGGAGAATTAAAATAGTAGTAAAATTTTGTTCAGTCTTTTTAATATACATATCTTTTATAATGGATACTGGGTTTGGTCATGGAACACAGAATAAATTTCTGTATTTGAATTTGAGAATTGATGCTTCAATTTCTTCTTGTGAATTAATAGCAGCATGTGTAAGAAAATGGATTGTAAGTAATGATCGGTCCTTCATCAGTTTAAAATTGTCTCTGTTCAAGGAAAAATTTGAGCATGATGGTTTTTCACCGTAAAGATTTGCTTTTTTAATTAATTTAATTAATGGATTCATTTCAGGTAACATTTGCATTTTTAAAAAGTGATATAATTGCTCTAGTCTGTTTTAGATTTAGAGACAACAACTTCTAGAGCTTAAGATAGAATTTCAGGAGCAAATATACATATTGAATAGTTAATACTAGAAGTAATAGTGGATATCTGCTTAATTTATGTTTAAGCCCTTAATTTTAACTTTCTAGAAAAATAAATAAAAGGATACATAATATTATAAAATATAATATAAAAAATAACACAGTACTCACAAAATTAGATAACAAGTGATTGCAGAGATAGGCCATCCATCTGTTCTTTCCTCTCCCTATATGAAGTCAACCTAATTTTTCAGTACACCTATTTATTATATAATAAATGAGAACAGAAATATTGTTCTATGACTATAAGAATGCAATGCTCCCTCAAAAAACATTTTTATATAAATTCATAATTAATAAGAATTCAGATTTAGCAAGAATAGATGTCATCTACTGAGTATTAAATTCAACTTTATTTTGTTGCCCTCTTAGTGAAAGAAGATCTGTGTTAGCTTCTCAGACTTCACTCACACCCCTGGGAAGGAATGGACGTAACATTCCAGCGATGCTGGCACTGGAATCTAAAGAACTTGTGAAATCTGTTCGTGCAATGCTTGATATGGATTGTAAGTTTCCTATATTTTTTTCTTTTTAAATAATTCATTTAACAAAAGAAAATTTAAAGTATGAAAGTTTAATTTTTGTTAAATGTATTGGTTTGCCTACAGTTAAATCAATAATCAATAAAAATTTCGTGCACTGGTTGTAAAGGGAAAATATTTGCTTCATTTAGTATACTTAAAATAGCTTCCAACAGAGGATACCTGATTAAGACATGTCTTAACCTCTGCTTCTATCCACAGTCTCTTTGAAATGGAAGTGTAAATATAAAACTGCATCTACAATAGCACTGGAAACCCGGAAGGGTATAATCAACATTGAGGAATTTTTGAATAATATACAATAGATAGAATAAGATGGAAGGTACAGCCCCATGAACGAAAGACCTCCAAAACACAATAAAGATGAAAGGCAAAGGCTGTTGAAACACTGAGTTTCAGCAAAAAATTCCCAGGATCACAGACAGGGAAAACCAGGAACAGACCCTGTGGCAGTCAGTAAGGTAATTAATTAAAGGGCTATAGAATAGCTGAACTAGTCCCCTCTTTTTCCAGAGCTGCTGGCTCAAGCATTTACACCTAAGCAAGGGACCAGAGTATACCTCTTTTAAAAAGCCTCATGATCTGTCACTGGACACCCCCATCTAAAGCACTGAGCTAGAAAGAGAAGGGGGGCAGTGCTCTAAGTAACCTTCAGCACAACCTCCCATCCATAAACATGGAGATCCTTGGGGAAAAACTTAAACGACTGGACATGTCCATCCTTCCCTTCTCCTGTCTTCCAAGCGCTTTTGCCTCTTCGTGTATTTGGACTTCCTTTTTATTGTTTTGTTTTTCTGTCTCTTTTCTTAATGCCAGTCTGTCTGCTGTTTGTCTAATTGCTGGCCTCTAACATTCCACTATCCTTTTAATTACCAGTCTTCATTTTCCCTATGCTGGGGGCCAGATACCCCATACATGCAAATAAAAATATATAAAGATATAGATAAAATCTATGTTAATTAATATCAAAATAATAAGTTTTGAGTAGAGTCCCTGTAGTAAATGGCTTGGTTTAGTGTAGGGTTATATTCAAAGACACTTTGAAGGTACTTTTGACTTCAAAGTTATTATAGAGGGTTAGAGACCATGCCTTTAATCTTATCTGTGTGATTTCTGCAGTGAGGTTTTTTTTTTTTTTTAATTTTTATGACCTATTTTGTTTTTAAAAATCAAATTACATTTCAAAAACCCTACAAGAACTCTTTGTGTAAAGAAATTCTGTGGACTTTAGGAAAGATGAAAATAACCACTTCTAGTGTGTTATGTGAAAGCTCAGAATTTTATGTATCAGACCTTTTTCAGTTACATGGGAACAGTGGAGGGAAACACCTGCACAGACATAGCCCAGTGGACAATTCCCATCATTAATTTTAATTACCTTGCTGACATTAATCTTTATATGTGTCAAACATGATTATTCAAAGAAAATATTTGAAATTCAGCAGAACTTCGCTGGAAGAAAAGTGAAAAATTCCATCTGTACTTTTTATCCATTATAAGATTATAGCTACTCTACTCTTTAAAACTAGCAAATAGTTGCTATGTTGTCTTTTTATTTCAACATATAATTGCTCATGTTTGCATATTTTGCCAGTGCTTTTAAAATTATATGACAGCTTTTTTTTTTAATTTGATAATTCAGATAAACTCATCTCATTTTTCTTTCTTTTAAGCTGTAGCTTTTTCTATATTTAATGAGAAACAGAAAATTGCTACCACGAGGTAGATAATTCAGCTGCAGCCTCTACCTCATTTCCTTTGCTATGGTTGTCTGCTTATTTCAAGTTACAATTTGAAATTTTCACTAGGGTAATTGTCCCCACTTTCATCTTAATGTAAGTACATTCTAGGATATTATACTACAGGATTTCCTCAGAAATGAGAATAAGATTCCATGGGTCTTATAACTGAAAGCCAGGCTCTTAAGGAGTATGTAGAAGACAATTCTGAACTTTTTTTTTTTTTGGTAATAGATTTCAGCGGCACAATTATAAACGCATATTGTTTCCAATTTCAGAGTGTTTATGAGCCCCAACTATGGACCCCAATGTAGCATCACAGGAAACAAAAATGCTTTTTACAGCATCGTCAACACAGCTATCCAGCCCTCCTCAGATTACTTTTAGCAGTAGGGAAGTATGTGAATCAGAGAGGCAGCCTGGAGTCAAACAGCAGTAAATTGCTTGCTTATAAACAGTGCTCCAAAGATTCTGTGATGTTCCCTGGAGGTGTCCCAGAGAGCATCACACTTGATCATCCAATTTCACTGGAAAAATTACTTAAACTCTGTACCTGTTTCCTCATATAAAAAAATGGAGATCATAATATCAAAGTGGCAGACTTAGAGAATGAAATGAGATACATGAAAAGTACCTGGTAGTATAAGATGGTCTATAGATATTCTGTAAGTGGACATTACTGCTTCTAATGCTAGCATCATTATTATTGCTATTATTATTAAAAGCAATTTACTTTTTCCTTATTATTTTATGTAAGTATTATCTAAAGCTTCTTTAATCTCAGATACATTTGAAAATGTGATCGATGAGAGCTTTTCTTAAAATATAACATTTAGTGTTATTGAGTTAGAATGTAGACATCACAGGACACAGCAGATAAATGTCTGAATCAGCATCTTACCTTTTAGTTGTTTATTGCTAACTGTAATGAGACTTTGATCTGTTCTGTTACATTACTTCCAGTGAAACAATATGTAACCAAAAATAGGCATTTTCAATCAGTGTTGAACCCCTGGAGGTGCTGCTATTGATCTCCATCAATATTTACATGGCCGATATTGTAATAACCTGTTACATTAACATTACAACCTATTTTTTTATTTTATGTATTTCTTACATCATTTTTCATTTTTGCACAATATATGTGTTTTCATCTTGGTTATAGCCCCCATACAATTCCTACCACCCTTGTTTTGATCATACTCCCTTCTCTCCCCCATGTAGTGTGTCCCTGGTTTATAGTTGCTTGTTGATTTTGATTTTTACTTTATTATAATTAGTCTTTTTCCTGGTCCCTTATTTAGGTTTTCTAAATTCTGCTATGAGTGAGACCATTCAGTATTTTTCTTTTTCTTTCTGGCTTATTTCACTGAGCATGATCCCTTCCAGCTCCATCCAATGCAACCCATTTTAATAACCTTTAGTGCAACCTTTATTTGAAATAACTGTTTTGAACTGTAACCTTTGTCTGATTGACATCTAGATTGACAAAACAATTCTGTAACAAAAGTAGGAAGAGGCAGTTCTATTAAAAACATGCATAATAAAATGATATATGCCCAGATACCCCATAGGAGGTCTTTAATGAAAAGAGAACTTACTGACTTCCTGGTAAATTGGCAGCATAAGCACAGGTTTCTGTCTTCCTTCAAGATTCCCAGGGAAGTGATAAGTAGAATATAATAATAGGGTACAGTCTTCAAACACTTCACCAGTTATAGGCAGATCCCCAAAACTTTGATATAGAACAGGTAGGACCATATAGAAGGAAAGCACCGAGGACCTATTTCTTTATTGCTCTGAGAACAACTGTGGCAATTAATTAGGACAATGGAAATAACTGGAGTGCAGTCTAGCAGGACGGGATACCTTATTGCATTCAAATTTGAAGGGGGCAGAGGAATCCTCCCATAAAGAAAACATTTTATTTTCTTTTTTCTTTTTTTTTTTTAATTCTTTTAAGATGATTTTTCTTTTCCTTAACTTTATAACATCATTGGTAATTTCTGGACAGTATGTGATTTCTCCCCTAGTGTGGCCTCTACTATTCGCCTGCCACCAAAGCACCCATATCCCCTGTGCTCTTCCCTCCCATCTTTCAGGCATTTGCTTTTCTTAAATTACTCATCCATTAGGCATTTAAATAATCCCTCCAATTTAGGAGTCATATGAGCCTACCAGTAATTGAAGTTAAAAGTAAATATTCTTACTCACTGCAGGTGGGAATATAACTGGGCACAAATGCTTGGGAATCAGTTTTGCAGTCTATATCAAGAGCTTTTAAGGTATCTATTAGAAAAGTTTATATGAAATTAAAAAATGTTTTAAAGTCACATGTTTGAACCAATAATCTATTTGTTGGCAAAGAAAATAATGGAAAGATGTGCATAAAAATGAACATATATTTTCATCACATTTGTTATAACAACAGAATATGGATATTTAACTCTTACAAATTGGTTGAATGATAATGTAATTTTTTAATCAATTGAAAATAAGGATGCATTTTTTTCCCTCTCAATGACCATCTGATTGCACATGTTTGTCTACACAAACCTCCTGCATCTACTCAGGTGCTCCTGTCTGAATTAGCAATATTTTAACTTTAAAATTAGAATGTCAGTAATGGTTGTTTTTTGTCTTTAATTCTGAAGCTAATTAGAAGTTGTATCGACAGATGGGGAAAGGTTTTATAAGAAAAGGGGGAAATGCAGTACTGCAACATTTGAAGGCCTTCATAATTTTTCTTTTATGTCCAAAACTCAGAGTTGATACAGTATCTTCCCATTGTGCTTATTCTAGGCTCCAGCTCTCATCATTGCTTTTCTTATTTCCCCCAGGGCATGTTTTTATTAACTTACATGAATTTATAAAAAGAAAAACCATACATTTTAATGAATATCAACTTTACTATTTAGAAGAGGCATTATGGTCTTTATATCCCCACAAAGCAATCTTGCTATTTTGTATCTTTCTTCATTTGGAGTTACAGAAGGTGTTCCAAGCAAGATGGAATAGCTTGTCAAATTCTTATTGCCATTTTGAGAGATAATTTCACCTATATTTGTAAGGCAGATCTGTTCTCTAGTGACTTAATTAATGATAGCCAGATAAAAACCACTGTAAATACTTGTGGTATCTTACCATTCAAGGAAAATGGTAAACACACATATTCTCTTATATTGTTGCAAATTGAAAGTAGGTCACTGCTGTAATATTCCACTA